GGCAGGAAAGTCAATTAGTAGGAAGATATTAGACGGGATGACCAACGTGCCTGCGGTGTCATGGCCTTCCATTTGCGGTCTCTGTGTCGATTGATCTCACGATAGAACAACCATGTCAGAAGATACAAAATAATGTTCATGACGGCGATGCCTATGAGCGCGCGATTACCACGCTTGTCTAAGCCCCGGATCAGCACCGGCGACAACACACCACACAGCGGTAAAATGGCGTACAGAGGGGCTGCGGGATGAAACAAATATGAGTGTGAATGAGACAGCGCAGACGTTTGAGCGGCTAACCTGGTCATCAGTGCGGTAGATATTCGCCTGAGCACATGGGTCGTCAGGTAATGTGGAGCGTCCGAACGACGGAAAATCTCACCGCTACAACACCACCGGCTTGCACGAACATGTTGTACACCGACGCAGACACCGTACGACCTTGAACGCTGTACGAGTTGGTCGAGGCCCATGCAACCTGGACGGGATGTACGTAGGGGTACGCGATGATGAGACTGACAACGGCAAAGTACACCCATTGAGAAGTATGCTCGTTGAACGAATACAAGATGATGAGCAACGGGAGCGCCCATAACTGCAGTGTGAGCATGGAGATCGTGCGACTGTCGATGAGCTCGCTGAGGTAGCAGAAAACGAGGAGAAGGACGATGCCCAGCGCTGTGGACGGGATAGAAAGTAAATTGGATTGTGTCGTGTTGAAACCGAGGTTGCGAAGAGATAATGTTAGATAGGTCTGCGGAGGAGTGACTGGGACTGGAGGTCTATATGTCAGTTAATGTAATATGGTACAGCGCGATGAGCATACCGAGGAAGGTCAGTCCAAGAATGTATAGCGGCCACATCCGCCAATCCTTGAGACAACTCCAAATCATCTTGATGCTCAGGCCTTGGCGATTGTGCATGCCAGACTTAGAAGGATCGTCGCGCAGGACTCTATTGGATAATGTTAATGCCAAAGTAAGCTAAATCAAACGAACGGTGACAAACCTGTTGACCATGATCTTCTCTTCCCTTTATAGTAATGAGCACCCGTATCCTCAAGATACCGACTGCTACATACCGCTCGGTGAACCAGCCCTTCGGACGGCACCAGGCTTTCGTTTGCGTAGGACCTGGAGGCATCATCACGAATGAGAACAACCCGACGAGACAAGTCAACACGCCCTCGATGAGGAACAGATATCTCCATCCAGCAACGTCGTTATGTCCACGCAGCTTGAGAATGCCTGTTGCAAGGAAGGCTCCGACAATCTGGTCCGCGTAGTTCGATACCCAGAACCAAGCGAGACGGATAGGCAGTTCGTTCTTGGTGTAAAAGTAGGAAAGATAGAGGATGACGTCAGGAATGAAACCACCCTGAAGAAAGCCGAGAAGACATCTATAGCTATGATCAGCTTTGCTGAGGAGCACTGCTGAAGAGCATACCTTGTCAACAAAAAGCTTCCCCGTCCGCTCAGCCAATATTGACTGAAAGAGACGATGCTCCAAAGGAACATCTGCTTCCAACATCAGCAGGTTGCCATATCATAATGCAAAATCACATACTTGGCTTGGTATCCAACGGTCAGGCCCTGGAGCGAGACATCAGAGATGTCGAGGATTGTAGATATGGATCACTCACCGATACGCTTGGACAACAGCTGGGAGGGCAGCTCGGCAACCAAGAAGCAGACTTTGAACAGAGTATTACCGAGGTTGAAGTCGTCGGTGGTCATGTGGAGATCGTTCAGGAAGTTGTCAGTGTTGGCCTGAGAGATGTTGGTACGATCCAAGTCCAGGCAGAAGAACATCAGCCATGCCCAAATCATGATCTTGAAGTCGATCTTTCTGACGAGTTTCTATGGTTTGTTATAAGTATGCGCGCAAGTTTCAGGCCATAATATAGACTCACAAACTCCTCTGCCCACGTCCACCGGAAGAGGGGGTCGAAACGATGAGCATTCTCCCACTGCAGCGGCGGGCGGTAGATCTCGAGGGTGACGGGGTCATCAAAGACAGAAGGCTGGGTAGCAATGTCCTCTGGGTTCCGCTTTTTGCGCGTCCAGAAAGGCCGCTTGCCATCTTTGTCGGAGACGGACTCACCAAGCGGTGGTGCCTCGACGACACTGTAGGTCGAATCTTCACGCTTGCTGTCCGAGTCCTCGTCTGAGACGTCATCGCGCTTCTCGCTCAGACGGAGTGGAAGTGTCGGCAGGACGGTAGTCATCCTGTTAGTCTGAGGCTGCCTTTACTTACAACAAGGGAGAAATACGACGGGGGTGTCGTGAACCCACACGTTAGCCCTCGTGGAGCGTTTTGCGCTTTATAGAGCCATCTATGCTTCGAGAGTGCCGATGAGAAAAATAACTATGGATAGCCGGTCAATGCGGAAGGCACCTCAAGAACCACTTGCCGCTTCAGGCTTTACAGTCCACCGCGATAAAGAAC